AGGCTGTTGGCCTGCGTATTGTGATATACAGTAATCAGGAAACTTTCCTGGAAAGTGAAAGTGAAAGAGACACATACACACAGAGCTCTCATTGCAGCGAGCAGCAGAGGATCAGCGAGCAGAGGGGGCAGAGACGGGTACAGAGGGGGCAGAGACGGGTACAGAGGGGGCAAATGCTGCATTAGAGGGGGTGACGAGTCACAGACGGGGGCCGGGGGGTCATTAATTCACTGCAATCTCCCAGCACAGCATCTCTTCTCTATAAACCTGGAATAGCAGAGGCCGGGCCTCCTCTCAGCATGATTCCCTCCACAATCTACAAGATATTATCCTTCATTGGTAAGTGTCTGTAACTCTAGTTGTTATATGTGATATGTTGTTATATGTGATACATCATTATATGTGATACGTCATAATATGTGATACGTTGTTACATGTGATACATTATTATATGTCATACGTCGTTATATGTGATACGTCGTTATATGTGATACGTCGTTATATGTGATACATTATTATATGTGATACGTCATTATATGTGATACATTATTATATGTGATACGTCGTTATATGTGATACATTATTATATGTGATACGTCATTATATGTGATACGTTGTTACATGTGATACGTTGTTACATGTGATACATGTTATATGTGATACATTATTATATGTGATACATCATTATATGTGATACATCATTATATGTGATACATCATTATATGTGATACATCATTATATGTGATACATCATTATATGTGATACATCATTATATGTGATACATCATTATATGTGATACATTATTATATGTGATACGTCATTATATGTGATACATTGTTATATGTGATACATTGTTATATGTGATACATTGTTATACACTATACTGCCAAAAGTATTGGGACACCCGTCCAAATCATTGGATTCATGTGCTCTAATCACCTCCATGGCCCCCGGTGTATAGAATCACGCACCTCGGCATGCAGACGCTTCTACATACATTTGTGAAAGAATGGGTCGCTCTTAAGGTGCTCATACACCTTACAATTATCTGCAGATTTTCTGTGGTCAGATGGAAAAAGTGCAACAGATTGGCCCAGTGGGAGATTCCTCCATACACACAGTGTAGCGTAGATGGAAGAATCTGTGGCACCTTTTCCATCTGACCACAAAAAATCTGCAGATAATTGTAAGGTGTATGGCCAGCTTTAGGAGCTCAGTGACTACAAGCATGGTACCGTGATAGGTTGTCACCTGTGCAATAAGTCCATTGGTTACATTTCCTTGTTTCTAAATATTCTGCGGTCACCTGTAACTGGGATTATAACAAAGTGGAAGCAACTGGGAACAACAGCAACTCAGCCACGAAGTGGTAGGCCACGTAACATGACAGAGCGGGGTCAGCGCATGCTGAAGCGCACAGTGCGCAGAAGTCTCCAACTGTCTCCAGAGTCAATAGCTACAGACCTCCAAACTTCGTGTTGCCTTCAGATTGGCGCAACAACAGTGCGTAGAGAGCTTCATGGAATGGGTTTCCATGGCCGAGCAGCTGCATCCAAGCCGCACATCACCAAGTGCAATGCAAAGTGTGGGATGCCGTGGTGTAAAGCGCGCCGCCACTGGACTCTAGAGGAATGGAGACGTGTTCACTGGAGGGACCAATCACGCTTCTCTGTCTGGCAATCCGATGGACTTTTCTGGGTTTGGCGGTTGCCAGGAGAACGGTACTTGCCTGACTGCATTGTGCCAAGTGTAAAGTTTGGGGGAAGGGGATTATGGGGGGGGTTGTTTTTCAGAGGTTGGGCTCCGCCCCTTAGTTCCAGTGAAGGGAACTCTTAAGGCATCAGCACACCAAGACATTTTGGACAATTTCATGCTCCCAACTTTGTGGGAGGAGTTTGGGGATGGCCCCTTCCTGTTCCAACATGACTGCGCACCAAGCAAGGTCCATGAAGACATGGATGAGTCCTGACCTCAACCCGATAGAACACCTTTGGGATGAATTAGAGCGGAGACTGTGAGCCCGGCCTTCTCCCCCAACATCAGTACCTGACCTCACAAATGGTCCAACATTCCCATAGACACACTCCTAAACCTTGTGGACACCTTCCCAGAAGAGTTGAAGTTGTTATAGCGGCAAAGGGCGGAGCCAACCCAATACTGAACCCTACGGACTAAGACTGGGATGCCATTAAAGTTCATGTGCGTGTAAAGGTCAGCATCCCAATACTTTGGGCAATACGTGTACTGTATGTGATACGTCATTATATGTGATACGTTGTTATACGTAATATATAGGTGTCTTGCTGCACTCCTTACCGGTATAGGATGTTCCTTGAAATCCTGGCGGTTGCTCGTAGTGACCACGGATGGCGCTGTGAAGATATACAAGTTTGCAAAAGGATGTCACCAGCACACCATTTAAGTGAAATCAACAAAAGTCAATTTATGAATGGAGTCCTGTCATTCCAGTACAAGCGCTTTCGGGGCCGCACAGGGTCCCCTTCATCAGGCTCACAATGACCAACGCAAGGGGTAGGAGGTTCTTTGGCGTTTGCACATGTTTGGGTATTTCTATTGAAAGGGTACTGAACATTTTGGTTGTGTCATTATGAGCCTGATGAAGGGGACCCTGTGCGGCCCCGAAAGCGCTTGTACTGGAATGACAGGACTCCATTCATAAATTGACTTTTGTTGATTTCACTTAAATGGTGTGCTGGTGACATCCTTTTGCAACGTTGTTATATGTGATACGTTGTTACATGTGATACATTTTTATATGTGATGCATTGTTATATGTGATACGTTGTTACATGTGATATGTTGTTACATGTGATACGTTGTTGCATGTGATACGTTGTTACATGTGATGCATTGTTATATGTGATACGTCATTATATGTGATATGTTATTATATTTATTACGTTATGATATTTGATATGTTATTATAAATGCTACTTTGGAATATGTGATACGTTGATATTCTGGCTCATCTGGCTTCAGCCAATCATATCAGATAAATGTTTTCTTTTTACATTTTATTATTTGTTTGTAAATAATGTTTCATCGCTTAGAAATCATGTTGTTACTTTTCAGGCACCAGCGGTATATCTTCCTCATGTGTTTGAAGGCCTCTTTCTGACCATGTTACACCCATATCTAGGGGTCAGATCGCCCCCCTTCCACTTACCTAAATTGAGGGGTTGTTCTCCCTGCCCGTGCTTCTTTCCCTCTTTGATTTGGTGTTGCTCTACGTGATTCCACCCGCACAGCCACATCATCCACTCACAGATCCTTTGCCATATATATTGTTATATATGTAATTAGTGTTTTTTTTTTAAAAACAACATATACATTAAAATAAGAACTAGTAATATGCATCAGCCATTAAAACGTACAATATTCAACAAAAAACAAAAAAAAAAACTCTGCTTGCCGCTGCACTGGATTGTATATTGTATACACGCTGTATATAGAATATACAATCCATATGTATGGGAATAACAATTGTATATTGTTATATATGTGATTAGTGTGGGGGGGAGGGGTTACATATGAATTAAAATATTGAGAAATTAAGAACTAGTAATATGCATCAGCCATTAAAACATACAATTTTCTGTTTTGCAAAAAAAAAAAAACCCTCTGCTTGCCGCTAACTACATGCGGTATATACAATACATATGTATGTGAATAACAATTGTACATTGTTATATATGTGATTAGTGTTTTTTTAACATATAATAAAATAATGAAAAATTAAGAACTAGTAATATGCGTCAGGCATTTTAAAACATTAAATTTTCTGTTTTGAACAAAAAAAAAAAATTACCATCATATGGTGTTTAGCGGCAAGCAAAGGTTTTTTTTTTTTTAAATGTTTCCACATATACATTAAAATGAGAAATGAAGAACTAGTAATATACTTGCTGCATAGTGTCCTTTGTTGCTAGGGTGCAGGACATTCGAGCCGCCTAGTGCCCTTCCTTGCCAGGATGCAGGAGGCTCAACCCGCCTATTGTCATTTGTTGCTAGGATGCCAGCAGCTGCTTGCCATTTAGTGTCCTTCATTGCTAGGATGCAGGCAGCTCAAGCCATCTACTGTCCTTCATTGCTAGGGCGCAGGCTGTTTCAGCCACCTAGCATCCATTGTAGCTAGGCCACAGCCTGTTCAAGTCGCCTAGTGTCCTTCCTTGGCAGAATGCAGGCAGCTCAAGCCACCTCGTGTCCTTTGTTGTTAGGATGCCGGCAGCTCCTTGCTCCATAGCATCCTTTGTTGCTAGGTTCCAGGCCGTTGGAGCTGCCTAGTATCCACTGTTGCTAGGCCACAGCCTGCTCAAACAACCTAGTGTCCTTCCTTGGCAGGATGTAGGCAGCTCAAGCCACCTTGTGTCCTTTGTTGTTAGGGTCCCATCAGCTCCTTGCTCCATAGCATCCTTCGTTGCTAGGGTGCAGGCCACTCAAGCTGTCTAGTGTTCTTGCCAGGATGCAGGCAGCTCATGCCGCCTAGCACCCTTTGTTGCTAGGATGCTGGAATGTTCTTGCCAATTAGTGTCCTTTGTTGCTAGGATAAAGTTGGCTCTAGCATCCTAGCAACCAGTAGGCCACCTTTGTGCTGCACACTGTACACATCTGAAGGTTGCACAGACCTTACATGCGTACAGAACACAGAACATGTATTACGCAGGATCTTCTGACGGTTTCTGTCACAAATATCCTGTATTCTAGTTGCCGTATTTTCATCCGGGACCGCGTGCATGAGCTAATAGAGCGCTGTTAAAGTCCCTGCACGCTATTCAGGTTTTTATCCAAATATTTACCACTTTCCTCATGATAGGATTTATTATATACTGCAAAGCTAAATAACAGTAACAGAGGATTAATATCTCACATATAAGCCACTCTGCCTGCAGGGAGCACCGCAGCTGCCCCGGTGTGGGCAATAGCCATGGACATGTGTACAGACCCATTATTGGGCATTTTAGGGGCCTCTGACACTCCAGATGTGGATCCAGATTGTGGAGGGAATCAGCATGATTCCCTCCACAATCTACAAAATTCTATTCTTCATTCCCACCCTGGGTAAGTGTCTGTAATTCTACATATATACCGGTTCTCATTATATGTCCCCCCCTTCCCGTGTCCACCTGTAGAGGTAACCTTTATAATAGGCCCAACAGCACAGATCTGTAGATTGGGAGTCAATATTGAACAGAAAGCCTGTCCCCTGCCAGCATGCTGCCGAGAAGGACCCTTGCTCTCTGTGCAGAAGCAGCGGCCTCTCTGCAGTGGTCCAGCATGGTCAATTGTTATGGCCAACACTCAATACTTAGCACTCGGTATTGTTGATGAAATACTGGATTGTACCACATGTATTGTGTCGTTTGTCCTCTTCTTTACGTCTTTTGTGGTTTCCTGCAGCTGTCGTCCTGCTCGGGGCGTTTCCTGCCACACAGGCCGAGCCTCTGTCCTGCTGGTTGGTGGAAGAGGTGGGCTCACCCCGCAGTATCCGCCAGACTCCCGTCCTGTTGGTGTTCAGCGATACCGCAAGGATGTCTCCAGAACCTCCAGTGACCGCCGAGCCCGGCACTCTGGTCTTCTATGTGTCAGGTGAGGGGTTGTTATGGTCTCTTTAATAATTAACAGGCATTTTCGCTATGGCAGCAACCCAGGGCAACAATTTGTTTTAGTTTAAAGACGCTTCCACGCCATGATTTTACAGGAACGCTTGCTGGTGCAATGCAGTGCCTGAATGGCACCCCAACACACCTTTTCGAGGCAGGTGCAATGCAGCTAACCGCAACACGTGGAACTGACAGTCATTTTGGTGTCATTCACTCTAAAAAGTCGGGCACTTGGTCCTGGACCAGGAGCCTGACAGTTGCACAAGAGAGGAACCTCCTTTCCTCTCTTTGCCAGCGTCCATTACTAAGATGGCCGCTGGCAGGCAAGCGCGCGTGACGTCATTACACACGTGCGTGATGACGTCCTAGCAAGGTGTTAAACGGTGTTCTGTCGAAAGAGCCAATTCATCGAAATCTCCAATTACGTCACTTCCAATAACTTGCCAGCAGGACATTTGGATGAATTGGCGTTACTGCGCGTGTGACTGCAGGACAGGAAGACTGGAGGAGCCGCATTTTCACAATACTCATCCAGTTCTCCTGCAGCTGTCAGTGCACATGCGCACGCATGCAAGCTCACAGGTGTTGCAGAACTGGACAAGTGAGTTGTTAATGTGCTGTGCTATAGAAATCCTCCTGGTTTAGTGCTATGCTGTCGGGCACGTGCACTAACGCCAACTTGTAGAAATCTTCTGCTGACAAGATACCGGAAGTGACGTAATTGGAGATTTCGATGAGTTGGCTCTCTCGACAGAACGCCGGCGGGCGCTCTGGGTGACACAACGCCTGAAGATGCCACTGTGTGAATGGGTCGCAAATGAGCCAAAGCAAATGAGTTCTTGTCTTTCTCATTCTTATATAATTGTTCTCTGTGTACATTTTAATTTCCTCTTCTCTCCTCTCCTGTTCTCTGGATGGTCCACAAATGTCCCTTCTCTCTCCCCTTAGACTCCTCTGGGCACCTTTTCTCCTCGGAGTTCTCCGCCTGCGAGATGACGTATCATTTACCCCAGGAGGTGCCGCTGGACTGGGTGCGCTCTCTGACCGAGGAACAAGTCAGCCCCCCGTCTCTGGGTCATGCGTGGTACAGCCTGGCCGCCAAGGATGAGAAGAAAGGGTCCGCGGTGAGCGTCGTGCTGGGGCCGGTAGGGGGCAAGAAAGACCACTTGGCAGGTAAGCTCCATTTTTTTTTTTTGGAATGCCAGCTCTTGGGACTTAGATGAAACTCAATGCCACTTTCATCATGAAAATGTCACCAAAGGGCAGGAAGGGCGGACAACGGGACCGAGAGAGGAAATCCTCCCTAGGCCACTGCTAATGTTTGGCACCGAGTGCGTTCTTTTTTATTGGACGTTGTCACTGGTGATGTTGCTAGATCATATAATTAAAGTAGAACTAAGGCCAAGACATTTTTTAGTTCTGGATAAAGAGGAGAGGGAAAGGACCCTCAGCCCAATGAGGTATGTATTGCTCTCTTTATTTGTCCTGATGACCAGTATCACTGAAAGTGAAAGACACCAGTTGTCACCAGGACAGGAGTAGATAGGAAATCTTCCAATGGGGACACTAGTTGTGGCAGCTGTTACTCTCCTGGTATGGCCTGAGCGATGAGGGAGGCTACTTTTGTAACTCTCGTCAGAGCACCCCTGAGGATGGCACAGGTAGTGCACGAAGCAGAGAGAGACACCAGTGCCTGTAGATGCTGACAACCTGCTGGTAGTGGTGAGATGATGCAGGTGACTGGACGCAGGACACTCCGGATCCAGAGGAGCAGCTGGAGGCCAGATGGCAGCAGAGTAGAAGGGAACGGAGTCAGACGGACCGGATCGGTAACTGGCAGGCAAGGAAGTACAGGAACGTAGGCAGAGATTTACTCACAGGAAGCCGGGTCAGAACCAAACAGACAGTCAGAGCCGAATCAGGAAGCAGAGAGAGTAGTCAGGCAGGCCCGGGGTCAAAGGGCGGGCAGCAGACAAGCAGGAATCAGGGACAAGCCGGGTCAAAACACGAACTCAGATGCAGGAACACAGATACAGCTAAAGATCTTCCAGCAACAAGTAGTTGTTGCTCTGTGTTTAAATAGGCTGCCTGGCTACAATAGGTGCAACAGGCGCGTGCGTGCCTGACTTTCTGGAATGTGCGTATGCGCATGTAGCGCTAATCGGTTACTATGCGCTTGTCCGTGCGCCACAGCGCATGCGGTAATCTGTGCCGTCCTTATGCTATGGGCAGCAGCCCTATTTTCCTGACAGCGGCAACCAGGAATTTCCCTTTGGAGGAATTTCTTCTGACTACTTGTGGAAATGGAGCAGGAAGTGAAGGGAAATCTCCCCGGTGGCGCACAGATGACAAAAACCGACGGGGGTTACACCCCTCCATTACTCTATCCAAATTGATGGGGAAACAAATTGAGCTTTAGTGCTAATTTAAGCATATCACAGATTTCTTTTTCGTCCAGTTCTACATGTATATCCAGAGGCAGGGCCGGGCCGACCCAGGGACAGACAAGGTGGCCATAGAGAGGGGGCGCAGAAACACACTTACCACCCGCTGCCACCACTGCACACACAGAGGTTGGTATACTGAAAGGTAAATAGGCTGTTCACTTTGCGAGGTAATTTTCCCTTAGCTTAGTGAATGAGATGACGCTCTGCTAACTTCCACCATCCAATCACATGCAACAAAAATACTTTTGTTTTGATTTTCCTTGCATGTGATTTGATAATCTTTGGAAAGTGTATTTTCACCATATTCGCTAAGGGGAAATTCCCCCCTGCAAAGTGATCAGCCTATTTGTCTTTAGTAAATCAACCCCACTGAGTACGGGCTGCGGTGGGTGGGATTGACAGTTGGACCAGAATCAGAGTCTTCTGGTTCCTCAGAAAAATGACAGTTGCAGCGAGCGAATTAGTAACGGTGCCACACTTCAGTGAATGTACTTTGTCAATGTGATATGTAACCAATCAGACGGGAAGAGCTCAGGGTCGTGTTGAACCTTGCCCATATCTGAGCTCCTCTGAACACGGAAGTGCTATTGGCGACAAACCCAACTAGCTGCGGGCTGGGGCATTCCCCACCCCACTGCTGCACATAAACAAAGGGTCGGGATGCTTGTGCTAATGTCATTGAACTTATATAGCCACATGCCCCTATTAGGTCTATGTCATTGACCAAATAAAGTCATGTGACCATGTAAGGTCAGTGATGTCCCTGCATCCCGCCCCTTTTGTTCACGTGCAGCTGTGAGCAGGGAATTCCCAGCCACAGGGAATTCACAGCTCCCAGTCACCATTTACGATCGGTAGATAGGGAAGGGCTCCCATTGATGTGAATGCTTGTATATGGGGGGTATGCACTTTGCCATCTTTGCCATGGGTGCCAGAGGACCTAGTCCCGGCATTGTCCAGCAGTCTCATGTTTCCACTGACAGCCTCTCTCCTCTCAGTCTCTCTAGCTGTCCATTCCACCTCCATGTCGGTGAACGCCCCTCTGGGTAAACCTCTAACTATACCCTGTGGCCTGTGGCGTGGACAGCAGAGTCGCTTTGCCGTGGAATGGCGCCATCGTGCTCTGGGAGATGGGAAGGTCGTCTACGCCTATGACGGGTGGCGTGACCGGATTGAGGAGGAGCTCCCGGGGTATGCCATGAACTTCTCAACCTTACACTCCAAGGGCGACGCTTCACTCATCCTGGACAAGGTAGAAACGTCACACGAGGGCACCTACCTCTGCATCATCTACCTGCCCTACCTGAGGACACAGAGAGATATTGACCTCAAGGTGACAGGTAAGACCTGACAACTGACACAAGATCAATAATCAATCAATAATGATCAATCGGTGAACATGTTAATATTTATGTGTGATATAAAGTTATATCAGGAGTAGGCAACCTACAGCTGCGGTGGAGCTACATGTCCCATGAGACATTGCAAGATAGCACCAGGCATGACTGCCAGAAGCAAAAGCATGATGGGAATGGTAGTTTCACCACAGCTGGAGTACCATGGTTGCCTACCCCTGAGTTATTGCTACATTAACAAAGCTGTAAACTTCTGTGGGTTAGGGTCCCATGCAGTACTGTGCACACCACCTTGTTCATCCTAACTGTATGTGAATGTCACGTGTGCTGTATGTGCTACGTGTTGTATGCACTATACCAGACTCCACCACAGAGATCAATTATCTCTACACTGACCTATGGCAGATTTGCCCAAATGCCAACACTGTGAAAGTCTTCCTAATACCAGATTGAATATCTCGAGCTGTATCTGCTTCTTCTTTGCTGCCTTAGGTACCATGTTACCTGTCCTAGCTGCCCCCATAATAATTTCATACCTCCCCATATGAGAGTCCCATTTTTGGTTCAGTTGATCAGGAACTAAATTGATTGGTTCCCAGTTGTTAGAGTAGACCAGTGCCATTTGGTCTCAGAACTAGAGCTTTGCATAGGTGTGTGCTCCTACTTGTAAATGTAACATAGATTAGCATTCTCTGGCTTTGGAGAACCATGCCTGAGAACATTAATTTACCAATTTTGGATATTAAAGTTACTCTGAATTAATAGGTGGACTTACCTAGAGGACACATCACATAGAAGAATGTTGAGTTTTAAACAGTTGAAATGCAATAAGAGTTATGACACAATGGGGTGCCATTGCTATTCAATCAATGGTCCCAAGGGCCTGATTGGATTAGACAAGTAACAAATATCCTTTCCCTATGTCTAATGTTATAATTGTCCTTTGTTTCTCCAGCCAAGCCTCAGATCACCCTTCTGCCCTCCCCGCTGTTCGCCCGTCCCGGGGAAGAGGTGACCCTCTTCTGCGAGGTCTCCCACTTTCACCCTCTAGATATCTCAGTGGACTTCTTGGTTCAGCTTCCAGGAGAAACCAGTTCGACTCTCCTTCCTGCAACCACCCTGTCCGCTCATAGCCACAACCAAGACGGCACCTACACCATCACCGCCTACCAGCGCTTCACCGCAAGCCCCGAGCGCCACGGGGCGCGCTATTCCTGCCTTGCCAAGCACGCCAGCTCCACGAAAGTGATGTCACGGACTCAGACTCTCCAAGTTGCTGGTAATCATCACAAGCTGTAATATGTACGATGACTGATATTACACTGAAGTGGAACTCCAGTCTTAGCAAGAACATTTATATAGTTATCATGGCTGTGCTGCATAGACGTGTACATACAACCAATTTCCAGTTCATTAGCTGATCTCTGACACCAAACATGCAGAATAATTGGTTGTCTATGGCCACCTGAGAGCCTCAGGAATATGCATTTGTGAGAATCCAAATCTATCCTCCTAAGTCATCATTATAGTGCAGCCTTGCCTCTTTGGGAATGTTATGTGTGCTACTATTCACTTGTATTTTCTCCATGTCAGAGCAGAACTAGTCCGGTATTAGGCTGTAAGCCCCCCAAGGTGACTGACTTGGCTTTTGCCTGAGCTCAGGGCTGATAACTGACACTCCATCCAGGTCACTAAACCAGCTTAAAACTGTCAATTGACAACACCAATGTTGTTGCTTGACAGTGTTTGATGGCCAGTGAGCAAAGGCAGGAGAAGGCATGACCTAAAATACACAGACAGGGAAAGAATGTAACACTAAGGCCTGGTTCACACCTAGGCGTATTGCATATGCGCGGTTGTCGCGCGTTTCCGAGGGCTACTTGGCTGTATCCCAATGGAAATCCCTAGGCGTATTGCATATGCGCGGTTGTCGCGCGTTTCCGAGGGCTACTTGGCTGTATCCCAATGGAAACGCGCAACAAAAACGGCCCAAAGTAGTACATGTATCTTTTCAGGCGTGGGCCATTTTGTAGCGCGTTAGGGACGGGCTGAAATACGGCAAGGTGTGAACCAGACCCATTGAAAACAATGGGATTTTCATGTTTGAGTGTTTGTAGAGCGTTCGTCGAGCGTAGAAGCGCTACAAAACGTTCAGGTGTGAACGAGGGCTAAAGGTTGCCATACACCTTACAATCATCGCACGACTTTCGTTGTGCGATGGTTGAAAGGTGATTAAAATTTTGTACGATCTGCCCATCTTGGACAGGCAGATCGTACATGCGATCATCGCAAGCCCTCCCCGCTGAGGGGAGGGCTTCCGATGATTGCAGTGCTGAGCGGGCAGTGTGCGCTTGCGCACACCGGCCCGGCCCGTGCGGCATTCCCCTTCCGACCACGCCACCAACCCGGCGTTTTCCAGCGTGCTCGGAAGACGAAAGTCGTGCGGCCTTACAGTAGAGGCGATCTATTGCTGCCCATACACCTGCCGATTATCGTACAATCGCGGGATCACCCGCGATTATCGTACAATAAGCGGCAGGTGTATGGGCACCTTAACTATTACTCTCACCATCCTTTGCCTATTTCCCTTTGACGCTCTCTCTTTTGATCTCTCTCTTCCCAGGTGTGATGGGACCATCTATTGAAGACGGTATGTATCTCTTCCTGGTCGCCCTCTTCTTGTACGGCTTCCTGAGTTACCTTCACAGGAAATGTGAGTATGAAATGTGACAATGTTACATTGATTATAGATATACCTCTATTTCTGAAATATAACCAAACTTTCTATAAAGACATATTCATTCTAGTACAAGGGCAGGCCAAAGATTTAAAGAATGACTGTACTTATTCTTTTTGCTCCCTTCCCTGGACCTAAACGATCTTGCCCTCCATACAGTAGATCTATGCTTAGCGACATTCAAAGGACACTGCTCTGCTGTTTGTTGACATCCAACGCTGCAAGTCTCCCTCTCCCAGCTGAGTCTGTCTCCTGGATGTGCAGGTGCCACCAGCAGAGGGAGCGTTGCAGCACTGGATTAAAGGGTAATTCCACCTTCCCAAGTGAATTTGGGAAAATGGAATTGCCCCCTCCAATCTGACCCCTCTCCCCAACCTTGCTATACTTACCTTTGGGTGAACGCTCCTTTACCTCCGCCGGTGCAGGTGTACCCTCTGTACCCCGTACTGCTGTGTACCCCTGCACTCTGAATTTAGAATTTTGCTCACAATTGGCAAGCACTTTATATATATATATATATATATATATATATATATATATATATATATATATATATATATATATATATATATATATATATATATATATATATATATATATATATATATATATATATATATATATATATATATATTGTATAGTAGTACTGTTAGGAAAAGGCTACTATGTTACTATAGAATGACAAAAAAGGAGAGCGCCCACTCCATGTGAAGGATCGTTTAATAATTTGCTTTCAAAAAATGGTAATGTACTCACAACAGAAAAGTGACACAAGCGTATTCAATGGTTCCCCTCACAGGAGGCTATTGCCCATCAGAAGCCACAGCGCAGCCAAGTCAGCTCACGACCGAAGTCGTCTTCCAGCAGCTAGTGGCAAGGGTTAACGCGTTTCTGGGGCATGCCCCCTTACTCAGAACCCTATGTTACTGTGTTGTATACAGATTGTTTTATTAGTAGTATATTATGTTATATATAATTATATTATTGTAGTATTATATGCAGACTTGTTAAGATCTCGCTATCTGTCTCTTGCAGGTAAGTTGTTCTTTAGCGCTCATCAAGAACCGAACGACAAGCAGGTAATGAGCTAATACATAGAGCAGCGCGGTCTGTAAACTCAACTGTTAAGGTGGCCACACATGATACATCCTGATCATACAATCTCCTCTAGATATACCAAGATCCCTATAGGCCAAACCGTAAAATCATTTTTATTTCACACTTTTATGTGCTTGTGGAGTTTATATTTTTGTTAATGTTCTAAATATGGAAATTTGCAAAT